CCCCCCTGCCATGGGCAGGCACACCTTCCACTAGACCAGGTTGCTCCAAGCCCTGTCCAACCTGGCCTTGAACACTGCCAGGGATGGGGCAGCCACAACTGACTGAAAAATTCCTAATTCCGAGAACTAGTTAAGCACTTGCAGACTTCACTGCAAAAGTATTTTCCAGTGCTAAAAACCCTCAACAGTTACAAGAGCAATACAATTACACTGTGATAAAAGTATTTATGGCAGTTGCACCTTCCATGGTAATGTACTGAAGTTTGCAGACAACATGAAGACACTCAGGTTTGTTCCACAGATAAGCTTTTTTATTCAGCACTTACTGGCTCAGACTGCCACTTCTGCAGTGCTGATTGTTCATGTGTCTCAAATATTTAAAAAACTAGCTGATTATCCAAATCAAATCATTTTATGGTGGTTTCGAACATACTCTAACCTAGAAGAACTGCTGGCAATGAGGGATGTGGGACACATACTTGCACGACATTCTATAGTATTTGCAAATGGAATAGAATTTGCAAATAACTTTTTAAAATATTCATTTTAGTGTTCAAAAATACCTTTTGTAATTAAAATTGTTGATATTTTGTGTCCAAAATACACAATAGCCAATAAGCAGACCAGAGAGTTACACCCACAAAGCAGTTTAAAATGGTTGAAACTTGTATAAATCCATGCTTACTTCATTAGTGACAGCAGGTATGGCCCTCTACATGCAATGGGGAGACCATCAAACTTAATTCACTAAAATTAATTTCAAAAAGAAAATAATTTTAGAAGTGTGAGGTTTTAAAACTTAAGTTTTTATGTAAGAAAAAGCTAAAAAATGCATAGAACAGTTAACTATACAGCTTCTATTTACTACTTAAGATTTATGCTTTTTCTTGATTTGATTGAAAAACAGCTTTGTTCCCCTAGCACAAGATCACTATTCCTAGCATTTCACAATACATTTTCTGCATCCCTTTCTACTGATTAACATGATCTTTGTGCTGCCCATGCTTTCGGATTCCATGTTGTTGAGAAGTAATACAAGATCAGGATGTACACTACCTTAAAACTAAACGAGAGTGCAGCTTAGTGCAGATTGCGTGCACCATTCAAAGCCACATGTTTTCCTCAAAACATCAGAGATGTGCTTTGGCAATACAAAGCCTGCTACTAGGTTCACAGTGACAGGTATCTTTGCTGAGGCAGAGGAAATGGGGCTGCTCTTCAGAAGCTAGTCAGCAAAAGTGAAGTGGCATGGGTTAGAATTTAAAAAAAAAAACCACAAACCCAAAACCATAAGGTTGTGTTGCAGGGCTGTCAAAAAACTCATTTCCCTACTGGGAGGGATGAATTAGTGGATTTCACAGCCAGTACCACAACTTTATTGCTACTTAACATATTAGCAAGTTTTCTGTTCCTACAATAAATAGAAAGACATCGATTCACATCAACAGCTGAATCAGAATGTGAAGTACCCTCTAAAATTTTCAGATAGCAACAGTAAGCTGAAAACTTATTTCAAGCATTTTGCTATGAATGTTTTCAGAACTGTACAAACACGAGCACATTTTTTATATAGGAACCATTTTCTTTGTTGTTACTTACCTGAATTCTGGTCACTGCAAAGAATTTGCTTCTGCAATACGTTCACATTTTGTACTCTTGAAATTGTAGATGCTCGATAAAGCCTTTACCTTTATTATCACATTCCCTTTGCATTTATTATGAATTTATTATGAATAAAGGTGACCATAATCATGTCAGACTTAGGAAATATTCTGTAGCTAGCAATTATCCTTTAGCAATCAATTATGATCCCAGTTTAAGACTCCAGGTCAATTCCTAGGGGAGACAGTGTATAAACAGACATGACTAATGGGACCAGGAAATGACTTAGGCAGGAAAACAAAACATAAAAAAACCAAAAAGGCAATTCCCTCCCTACCAGTACCGCGTTCCCCTGTGCCAACAACCATGATGGGTTTAATCATGACTGAAATAATCCAAGGACAGGAATAATGAAGGGACAGGAGTGTCGTAAAACTGGAGCAGGGATATTGGAGAACAGGCTTGCTCTCTACAAAGCTTCCTCTCCACAATGCCTTTCATAAGTAATTCTCTAGGGCCACAGAATTATGATTTAAAATTGGTGCTTACCAACAATATTAGAGTTACTGTGAGAACTGGAACATTTCTCTGGAACTGGAACAGGGGAGAGGACACAACCGCTCACCACCCGCCGACTGATACCCAGCCCGACCCGAGCAGCGATCTGGGCCTTCTGGGTAACTCCCCCCAGTTTCTATACTGGGCATGACGTGCTGTGGTATGGAATACCCCTTTGGCCAGTTTGGGTCAGGTGTCCTGTCTCTGCTTCCTCCTGGCTTCCCCTCCTCCCTGGCAGAGCATGAGACTGAGAAAGTCCTTGGTCAGAGTAAACATTACTGAGCAACAACTAAAAACATCGGTGTTATCAGTGTTGTTCCCAGGCTGAAAGTCAAAACTACAGCTACTAAGAAGGAGAAAAATGACTGCTGTAGCTGAACTCAGGACAGTATGCCAAAAGATTCCATGACAGCCTGGGAAAGGGCACAGCCTCTTTCAGGTGTGCTAACTCATAAGCTTTATTAGACATTACAGCAGTATTTCTAAACCAAGCTGAATGAGCACTAAGCTAATCTGTAGCTCAGTTTAAATTTCCACAGAAAACGTAAAATAAAACTTGTTAACAGTCTGCCTGCAAGACTTCTGGAGTCAGTTTTCTGTATACACTGAAGTTTTACAAGCTCTGTTCCATTTAGTTATTTGTCAAATAAAAGCAGTGATTCATTCAAGAGACTCTCCTGATAGTACACATTTCATATATAGGATTTAAGAAGGGTATTAACACTAGAAGAGCTCTGACAACGAATTCAGCCTTTTTATTTAATCTGAGGCCTTTAATCACTATGTTTAGTATACCCTATTAAAGTTTAGTTTAATTTTGTACTTTCAAACATTAATAAACTAACTCTCCCTCTGCATTTTTTCAAAAGCAAAACTCATTTCAGAGTGACACAGTACTGTCAATCTCAGTGATGTTAAGTCCGCAGCCAAGCACATGCATCTCTTCTGTACTGTCCACAGATGATGCTCATTACTGCAAGACTGCCATGAAGTAGAAATGTATTCAGTTATAGTAAGAAAGAAAGTGATCCCCTGAATTTCTACATCTGTACTGAGAAAAGCTGGTTTGGGTGGTTGTTCTGGGTTTGGATTGGGTTTAGGTTTTGTCAAAAGCAGCAGCTACTAGCTTGTGCAGTAATAAAGACAGACATTTGATACTGCTGTTTATTTCTTTTTAAAAATTAGACAATTCTCAATGTATTAATCCAGCAACATGCTACTAAGCACTCTATACATTCCTTTCTTCAGAATAATTCTAACTAGATCTTGGTGGGGATAAACTGCATAAGAATTACTGACTTTAACAGTACCGATCAAAAGTAAACCAGTTGAGAACTCCTCCCCTGAATCCAACATTATGTTTGTGTGAAACTGGCCTACTCTATTTAATACTGTGTTGTCTTGAATACCTTTTGAAATATAAATAGTTATTAGCTTCTCTATTAGAAACAGTTGTATGTGTATTTTTTCATCTTATTCAGAATAAGAAGATAAAAATTTCCATGGGCATTAAAGGAAGTTTCAACTGGAGTTTTATAAGGCCGGCTTTAAAATAGTGCCTGAACCAGTTTTTCCACGGAGTTCTTGATTAAAATCTACATACTTTCAATAACTATTTTCAGCAATGTAAATTGTGTGTCCTCCAAAAAGTTTTAATGGAAACCACTTTAATTAAAACTAGTTTGACAGCCTGAATATGCAAAGTCAAACCACAGGATACTAAATACTTTTTGAGATTGGGTCTGCGTATCTACAAGCAAAACTTCCCTCAAATATCCCATGGAACAGAAACAATTGTGGTAGCAATTGAAAGATTTTCAGTTGTCAGGTTCAAGGTCACTAGTTAAATTATTCAGACATTTTTTACTTCTAGCAAAACCAATCTTACAGGCATGTATGGTTTTGTATGTTGTTTCCTATATTATTTAAAGCACACTTTTATATTCTCTATTTTACAGTGCTGTGCTTTTTTTTATTTATTCATCTGTACCAGTTTTTAGCTGAAAATTATTGTTCAATTTGTACAAATCACCCATGATTTAAACTGTGTAATTACATTTCATGTAATCTCACAATTTCATTGGGTAATTAAATGATTCTCTACAGCTTTTTTATCAAAAAAAGCAATACACAACTAAAGAATCCTTGTAGGATTCCACACACACACACACAAGCATTGACATTATATATTTAAATACACTGGACCAAATCCTTGGGCATGTCTGATGAGTTGTGCTGACGTCAGACATGCATGCAAAATGGCTCTAAGCTCACCTTTCACAAAGGGCTGGATCCTATTGCAGGGCTGAATCCTCATCTCGGAGAGAGGAAAAAACCCAGGTGTGAATATCTAAATTGCATCAGTTGTACATATACAAGTGGACCTTCATGCAGAAAGAAAGTCCAGTAGTATGCCCTTTTATTTAAATTCTCCAGCATTTACTGTGGTATTTTAGGAGTCCACATGGAAAGGGTATATGGAACTCTCTGGGCAAATTACGCTGAATTTAGGGTCAGGTTAGGGCTTGTATTTTAATTTTCAGTAGCTATACTATTGTAGACAATCTAGCCCATATCATCACAGTGCAAGTGTAACCTCCTGTACAGACCCCTTTTGGTAATAATAAAACAACATAACCTTAACAAACAGAGTTACAGTTGTTAATGCGGCATGGTACATTTTACTCTGTAATGCACCTAGGCATGTTCTTTCACTGCCAAGCCATCCACTTTTCAGAAAACATCTTAAAAATAACACCTCCGTTGATAATATTAAAACTGGATTATATGATCTTTTGTCTTCAGTAAATATATAAAATACAGTATAAACTGATTTTTCCAAAGTCATTTCAGTTTAAAATGGGCTGAAAATAGTTGCAATGTTTAACAATAATTTCAGAATAGTAACTAGTTCACAAACATTTTGTTCATAATGAGAAAACTTTATCTGTGACAAAACCAAACCATGTCTTCCAGCAATTTACAAACAGTATTTTAGATGCCAGCATCACCTGGAGTTCTGTTGATGATGCCTTGCACCAATAGAACACTCTCCTACTGATGATCAACATTCATCTTCTTTATACGATGAAGCAGAGCATCTTTTTCCATTTGGATCTCAGCAAGAGCCATTTTGGCTTTGGCTAGTTCCTGTTTGAGACATTCATTTTCTTCTATAAGCTGAAACAATCATGTTAAAAAAGAGCCTTATTAGTATTCCTGCATTCTGACGTTTTCCATTACAGAAACTTTTACAATACCATGCGCTCACATTCATTGCTAAGTACAGACTTGTTGGGGCCAAGTCAATTGCGACTGATTCCCAGTCAATGATTGAAGGACACAGAGACAGTTGATGCAGTTACCTTGAAAGGCAAGATACCCTATGTTCTAGCTATACCACTTCCATTCTGGAGTGGAGTGGAAATGTCACCAGGTTCTGAGCTCTAGTAATGGATTCCTACCCAGTGGAAGGGAAAAAAAGCCAAATTGATGTGTGGGGTCATCATCAATTCAAAATCCAGGTATGATTGAGAGGTAAGTACAAATCTGATTTAACAACCTAGTCCTTTGTATTTAGCAGCTGTGTTGTACTCTGATGTAAAGGAGAAAAATCAGTCTATGATACTTAGAAAGCAGTATTATATTTATTTTGCATGCCTAAGTACTGAGCCATACTATAATATCCATAATTCATATTTTCCACCTCAGATTTCTAAGCAGAAGTAAGCCCCAAGCCCATCAATAGATGATCTAAAAATTATAATGATTAATGATTGTAAGATAGTCAGGGAGAGTGGGACGCGCGAGGGTGAGTGTTACAAGCAATTCTTAATACCTCCTTTTTAAGGAAGTCAGCTGAATCCCTCCTTGATTTAGGAGATCTGGGAATTTCACAAGTAGTCTGCGTGGCTTGGTCCTGTGTTTTATGTCCAGCAGGTCCACCTGCTTGCTGCAAGGAACTACCTGAATTCTTCATCTTTGACACATCATTCACTGTTTGATTGTCTGTATCACAGAAAGACACTTAAAAGTGGTGCTTAGGGGTTTTTGTTGTCTTTGATTCTCAGCAGCACAAAATTAAAACCAACTAAACAAATACACTTGTAATATTAAGTACATTTATATTTACCTCCCAAAGTCAAATTTAAGAACAAAATTAAAAAAAATAATAATAAATACTTCATACCCTTCTGGAGGAAAAGAGAAAGAAAAGGAGGCATGAGAAGAAGCAATATGTAGCTTCCAGCTTGAAGAAAATTATCACATTTTTATACTGACCAGTACAATCACCACAGAATATGCATTCTGAGTAATCAGAAGTTTGAGAACTATTAATATTGCTATTAATATACTGTCTCTAGGTCCAAATCAGATCTGAAGACTGGATTTATATTTGAAGATGTAGTGAGATAAACCTGCAGGATCGAGTTTTTAAATTAGAAAATAACTTAAATGACTTGGCATTAAAGGAACTCTGTAGCATTTACAACTGAAGTGGACTGTAACATCTGTGAAAATAATCTGCTGTACACCAAAGGAAAAAATGAGGGTCATGGTTCTTGGTAGCCAAAAAAATACTCTGGGTTGGGTTTTTCTTTTTTAAATATTTCCTCTTGAACAAGAGGTTTCTGTTCATAACCCCCTTCTCCCACCACACACACACGTGAGGACTCAAAATTGTAGCACTGCAGATACACAAATCACTGCAGTGCAGATAGCATTTGACCTATGCCTTTGAAGTAACTGTACCTGAGCAGTCCATGACAAGAATAGGGATCAAAGTACTTCAGCGAAAAAGGAAAAAAAATATGAGCTGAAAGAAACCTTGAAACTATGTATTTTCTTACTAAATTACTATTTCTTCCAATGTTTAGTATAAAAAGATAACCAAAGTGCACTGACATCTTTAAACACTCAAACAATGTATTAGATAATATAGAGACATTAAAATACAAGCAAATCGTGCCACAGCATACCTCCAAGAAGTCTGGTCCACCTTCGCTATACCTTTCCATCAGGTAGGTGAAGGGGCTATTAAGACCACCCTGCAGCCTCCTCTTCCTCAAGTCATACAATACATTCCATATTGTTGGATTAATACATTCAGGACCTGAATAAAAGGATGGGTGCACCCTCTGCAATTTTGTGAACAATACCAAATGGAAGGATAACTGAAACACTGAGAGGGGCAAGGTTGTTCTTCAGAGGACCCTAGACAGGCTGGAGAAACAGGCTGACTGGAGCCTCATGAAGTTCAGCTGAAGCCAGTGTGAAGTCCTGCAGCTGGGAGTAAATAAAACTCTTGCTCCACTACCAGTTGGAGGCCAACTGGACAGAAAGCAAAAGTGCAGGAAATGTGCTGTAGGCCTTGGTCAAGGAGAATATTCATCTTAAGTCAGCAGTAAGCTCTGAAAGCGAAGACCAGGCACATACAGGCTGTACTAGCAAAGCTATAGCTACCAAGATGAGGGAAGTTATTATTCCCCTATGCTCAGTACCAGTGAGACCACAGCTGGAATACTGGGTCCTCTATGTGACTACACTTAGAATTAAACCATACGGCAACACAACTTTCACAAACTATCATTAGATAACTTTTCATTATTAGCCACATATTTGCACAAAGGTAAACAAAAATAAAAACAGTTTTCATCATAATTACATTGTAATATTGAGATATCAAGGTGCAGGAACATACAAACCTCTAATGAGAAAAGAGCCATCATCATTTCTTTCTATCCAGAGTATGTCAATATGTAGTTTTATGGGTACCAGCTCAGATGCCTTGAGATTTTCACGTGGACTGTCATCCTAAAAAATGTAAGTATTCAAAAATGAGTTTACTGGGATATAAAAATAGCTAATCAAGATGTTCAATTAAACATCTTGATTTAAAAGTGGATTTAATGAAACTTGAAACTACTTCAGAGTAGAATTTTCTAATGGAATTCACCACGAAACTTTTGCTCCATTTTTTTTTCCCCAGGGATCATATTAAAGGCCCAAATTTATCTCTGGAGTAATTCTGCTGAACTCAATACATACTGTCTGACTACACTTCAAAGTATTTTCAAAGACATCTCAATAAGATTATACCCCAACCCAAGACATTCTTAACTCAGGAGCTCTCAGAGTCAGAGATAAGAAGCCTGCACTAGGCAGTATCTGATTTTCTCTTGAACTATTTAAAGACTGAATGGGTACAGCTATCATTCTTGAGCGGATTTTGTCTTTTTAGAATTTAGTTTGGCATGGCGCCAGCTGCAGTTCAGTTACATTACTGTACTCAACAGAAGAGAAACTTCACAAATTATTTCTTTTGGGGTCTCCCCAGGAAGTCTTAATAGTTCATTATCCCTGTCACGCAGAATAACACAGCCAGTACAATCAGAAACTGTACACCAGTATAAGGCATGTAGTGACGGAGCTGTTGAGATATAACTGCCACAGTTTCTTGAAACTGCACTGAGATTGCAGTAGAAAACCGCAAAGAATAAAATGACCTTTCTTAAATTCCAGCTACACCCAATGCAACACACTGCATCAAGTCTCATGCAGAAGAAATACAGAATTTCTTAGAATCTCAACAGCATATTGAATAGGCAACACAGCATAACCTATGAACATACCCTCTCACTCATTACTACCCAGCAACTAGATAGAAATGAATCATCTGTATGTCAAATTTGCAGTCTGTCAACCATCACGAGCAACTTCACTGTGACTCGTGTGCACTGCTGAGCAAGCACTTCAGGGCTTTCACTGCCAAGCAGACTCCTATTGCTCATTTATTAATGTATACCTCACCTTAACAGCTGCTTTCTCAATAATATTTTGATTAAATCTGCCTTCTTGCCAATAAATCAGGACAGTCCATTTTTAAATTTAAATCACTATATGTTAAGACTTCCCTTTTTGCAACCACTCATGTTTGTGATACATTGAAATGTGAGGAACAGATCCACAGCTATTACAAAAAATGCTTGTCCTACTCCTGTAGTAGAAACAGCCCTTAAGGAGTGCCTAAGGATCCTCAGTAATAGAAAAGCTGCATCACAGAGGGAGGGAATACTGATGCACTTTGAGTAAAACACTGCAGAGATAATGATTGCCCTTCGAGTCAAGAACAACCTTAGCAGAATCAAGGCCTTAGCCCCAGTGGCAGAACTGGAGCTGCTGTTCCAGTCCCCAATTTATTTAAAGTTTATATATATGGGTGATTATTAATTCACAAAACGATGTTATAATTATCTTACCTTTACTTTTGCTTGGGGTTTTGTTGTGAGCTTCCCCCTCACCCCCCCCCAAAAAAAAAAGTCCATATCTTTATAGTCAATGGCTGTGCAGCACAGAACTTACCATCTCCTTTAAATGTCTGAAAGAAAATCCCCTCAGAGACTTGCGCAGGAGTGCCCTCTTAATGTTACTACTTTATGCTACAGTGGTGAGAAGAACTTGCATTATTTAGTACCTGTTTCTAGGTAGACCAGAAAATGAAATGTGGCTTCTAAGAAACAGTATTCATGTGGTTTGAACTGGAATGCCTGTAACCTTTTTCCTTCTTTTGTACTGATTGAAAGAATGATCCTCTAAGCAGGAGAGAATTCACCTCTAAAATCTGTGTTTTGTAATTAGGAAACCATTATTGTGCTAAGCAAAAGAAGCCCAACCAGAAAAACCCACATTGTGCCTCTAGGAAGTTGGTATACCTTACCTATAAAGCTCCCAGACAGTAATTCTACAAAAGAGACTGGGATTGGAGAAAATAAGTATTAAAAAAGTATAAAATATTAATTCATATAAATAGCTTGGTCATGTGGAGAATTCACCTCTAGACATACCACAGAGCTAACCAAATCTATGGATTTTTAAATTGTTTTAGTGTTATCTAAAGATGTTCCAGAGCACAACAGCAGTTTCTTTGAACTTAACTATATCCACATCAGTAGTTTATCATCAAGAAACAAGAACGCAGTTTTTTTAGAGCAGCCAAATGGCTCATTGTTAACATACTTTTAAATTAATCCTTGCATTAGAAACTTTTATCTTCATAGGCATCACTTCTGCGACAGTTTCATCTTCTAGAAAATGCTGAATGTTTGTGAGGGAAGATGTTAGAAATTCAGCACTGAAGTTCTCTACGTGACATTGAAGAAAACCATTTTTTACAGACAGCAGAGAATGTATGACAGCACTAGGCCCACTTTCCCATCTCAAACTAATCTCAGGTGATGAATTAACTGGTCCAGCCACAGATTTACAATCAGAACCTGTTGCAAAAGGAAAACAAATTTGATTTAAAATTTTGCGATGCACAAAAAAGTAATCATGATGCAATTACTTCTACCTCTACTGTCCAACTGATTTTCCAAAAGTATTTTAGAAGTAGTATCCACAAATTACAGCAGTTTCTAAGCTTTTTTCTAAGTTTCTAAGCTAATTTAAACATTGCCCTTTCCTGAGGGAAGCAGACTTTTAACCAAGAAACATGGTTTGTTTTAATTCTCTCAAATTTTTTACTATCAAGTCTCTATAGATATACTTAGGTATCCTGTTAAAGACATTTGCAGCATGTGAACATATTTTTTAAAAGTATCATTAGTATACCGTTAATTGCAATGCTGTAAGAACTGATCACAACATTAACACTTAAGGATTCAAGTTCTTGAGTATTCAATTTTTTTTGCATGGTTCCTCAGTTTACTAATTACAAATGTTAATTCAGCACTTGAGTAAGTTTTATTAAAGTGTCTGGGGCAGAGGTTGTTTTTACTGGGATATTTTCTTTTTGCTTACTGGTTCTTTTAGTTGTATTTTTTTTTTAACTCATTTAAATTGTTTCTTTTGATCTAATTCCCAAGCTTTTTCCCAACCTTGATCCTCTGGATTTAACTATTTTCTCCCTTAGTTCTTCTATTAGAATAAATGTGGGAGATGGGGAAGAGCAGTGCCCGCAGAAGATGCCTGACTCAGTATAGAAACACAGCCCTACAGTGGAAAGAAGAAAACAGTAGAGAGTAAAAAAAATGTACGTTACAGAATGGGAGTGACCAGCAATGTACAAAAAGTGCATTGTTGGCCTATCCATCCATATACCACCCAGAAAGAGAAAGGAAGAGAGATGAAGTGGAAGTATTTGGAAATTCCAATCGTATTACAACTTTCTGTCCATAAAATAATCAGCCAATGCACAAGTGTCTCAATCAGCTGAACTGGAGGAAGCAGGTTCTAGTCTTAGATACACATGAGAGCAGGAAGGTGGCATGTTCTTACTAGCTACTCCCTCTTGGTTTTACAGGGGATGTGACAGATAACCAGAAATTAGTCTGCCTGCCATATAAACTGAAGGTCAGCCATGAGTCTTCCCTGCTGGACCTCCTTCTTGCCTTCAGATGCCTGAATTCAACTGCAACATCATGCAACAGGCAGCAGCTGCTGGCAACTGCTCAGCTTACCAGTAAATGGGTTTTTTAGATAGGGCATCAGAGGCTGTACCATCACGTACAGCTTCCTGAAGAAAATCCTGCTCCTGGAAGGCTGGAAATAAATGGCAGCCAACAGCTGCTATAGCTATTTCCTGGGAAAGGAGAGAAACCAGAAGCAGGAAGCAGGTGCATCAGGGATCTGCCCCAGAAACCCTACAGTGCAACAGAGCTGGCATCCAGCAATCCATGCGGAAGGCTGGCAGAGGGGAGCAAAGCAAACTGTGGCATGAAGCGGCATGCTAATACATTGTGCCAAGGAAAAAACCTCACAGCATGTGAACTAGGTTTTCTGGCAGAGAACGTATACAGACTCATGCCCAGGAAAAACTTTGACAACACACTGGTTGATCTAGTGCAAATATCTGCATGAGACTACACCCTCTGTTCCTATCAAGCATTAAAAAAAAAAAGGAAAAAAACGAAAGAACCACCAAAAAAAAAACCCACAACACCCAAAGCCCCCCAAAAAGGGCTGTCCTCACAGCTCATCCTTCCTAGCACAGAGTCAATTTTTAAGTTTTCTTAAACCACAGATTATAAATCTGTTTAAACTGTGGGTGTTAAATGAATCTAGAGAAATAGATCATGAAGAAAAGATCTAGACCTTCAAACCAAGGTACATTTAAGCAAAGTGTCAGTAAGGGAGTTCTATCTTCATAAAACAGTAACATAACATAATGCAATTTATTTGATTTTAAAAAGAGCAAACTAATGACGAGAATTCAATGGAATGCAAGTTTTTATCCAGAGTACCAGAGTTCCATTTTTATTTCCTTCCCTTTTAATGTATGGCAATCAGGAAAGAAATCAGAGTAGATATTCTAAACCAGCATAAAAAGGATGCTATTGTACTAACATAAAACTGTTTTTGCGCTCTAAGGCTACTACTGTGTTTTTGTTTACTGAGAAGAAACGTTTCCAGCTTGAGTTTCACAATACTCAGATGTCATTGTTAGTTCTTACCAACAGTTCTGTTGCAAAGATAGTGCCGAACACTGATATTTCCCAATTGATTTGGTATCACTTGATTGACCTGTAGGCATATTTCTGTGTCTTCACCTCTGATGTCAATTTCACCATTAATACCAAATATTTGAAAAACCACAACAGACATCTGCCAACAAAATCAAGATAAAACAGTTTAAGAGTATAAATTGAATTTACAGTGGTTATCGGGTTAAGTTCTTTCTAAACCTTTTCTCCACAAAAGGAAAAGAATCTTTGTATCCATAACCCTTGCTCACAGAAAAGCAAAGTTTTCTCATTTCTTCATTTCTTTTTGTACCCACTGGCTTGACAACAGGATGCTCAACTATCTGTCCAAAAACGGATGCTTGTATTTATAACCCACTGATACCAATTCAGAATTGGCCAGAAAAGCCACAAAAGTGAGGCATTTTCCTCACTCCAAAGGAAGCAGAGGAAACTCTTTCCTCACAAAGAAGTTTGTGACCTATGTGACACCTGAATTTTTCTAAGGCTGCATTCAACTTTATGCATATTATAAGCACAACCAAGCATTTGTGGTGCTGAATCAGAGCAGGTTAAAGAGAACCAGGACAGGCTACTAAACTTTGGCTGTCAGCATAGTAGTCAGCTCTCTCTCCTCTATTGGATTGCAGCATCTTTAAAAAAAAAAAAAAAAAAAAAAAAAGGAAAAGTAGGAGCCAATTTCAAAAGTCAGCTTTGGTATGAGAAGATATATGTCCGTCATCATTAATACTACTAAAATTACTTTAGTTATATTCTGCAAGTAGAAAAAAACATGCCAACATGCATTTGCATAACAGTTTGAATGAATCCGATTTTTCCATGTTACCTCTATCCACAGATGATTGAAAATGTATTTAAAAGTAACCAATCATTTTAGTGAGCTGCTTTTTTTCATTTTTTTTTTTTTTAATTAATATGATTCACAAGTATTTTAAAGCAAAGGTAGGATTACATGAACATCAGCAAGAACACAACAAATTTCAGTAAAATGAAATTCTTAGGTTTCTAGTCCATGACCTTAACTAATACAAAATACAATTTAAGAAGCATTGGTTATGGCAAAGATCAGCAATGAATAAATAGATAGGCAGATGGAAAAAACTGGACACTGCATAGTGTGTCAGGGAGGGAATCTCTACACATTTCTGTAAATACTGGGAATTATCCTGACATAATCCTAGACAAGAGGCATCCCTGATCTGATCGAGTAGGGCAGCTGGTTTTGCTCCTATTTGCAAATACTACAGAATGCTACCAGTGCTAATGAAACATCTCCAGGTAAGAGACATCAGAGTTTTGGTACTTTATCTATACATAATAATGTTAAAAAGCTCATTTTAAATACTGTATTCAATCAAGAATAAAAGAACATGACAATATTACAAAATAGTGCTAGGTACTAAAGCAGAAATATTTTGTGACATTTTTAAGTGGTTACTGTCACTTATCAACAGTGGCTATAGAGGAGATAACAAGGACAGAGAATACCATACTCAGTGTAACTTCGACTGTAATCTTCATTTGTATTTAATACAAGTGCACTACACCTATAGGCTTACATAATGCACTAACAAAGCTACCAAAATTACTTGAAAAATCACCTATAAAAGCATTCATTGTACCTCTATCTAGAGGCTTAATTTGCTGAAGCATGTATTCTAATGGAATTCAACACTATTACCATTTCTTCACTAGGCTCATGGGCATTCTCTGAAGCAGCGCTCACAGCATCTGGAGATGAGCCATCACAATTTTCAATCACTGTGCCTCCTTCATGAGCATTTTCTGACGGGCTTTGATAGTTTGTGGCTGTAATACCTTCCGTATATGTATCAGAAAAAAACCACAAAGTTAGCATAGCAAAACCTGAATCACTCCTGCATCAAGAATAAAGTCAGTGTCTGTTACCGTGTGCATACATTAGCTCACTCTTTAAGATGAGTTGAATGGCTTATTAAACAAATATTTATGATTGATCTGCCAAACCCGTGCCTCTTACAGAGAGTTCAAAGTTCTAGATCATATGCAAGTAAGGCGGGATATAGTGACAAAACCATGCATTATTGAAAAACTTGTGAAAGGCCTTTTTTAGTCTTCCAAATCAAATATAAACTTGATCCAGCCATGTATATAAAACACTTCACAGTGCCTTTAAAGCAAATGTTTGTGGGTTTATGTTTAGAGAAATAAGCTGTATATACTTTCATTAGAGTGATCATGGTAGTGTTTCCCTGACAACTAGAAAGCATGCAGACTTAATCTACAGTTAAATATTGTTTAACAAGCTAAAAAAAAACCCCATATAAAGGTTATTTTGTAGCATACTCCCACATAAGCACATGCAGGAATACTCCTACAATCCAAATATATAACAGGTTTGCAAGTGAAGTAGTATTCTCATTATTGCCCTAGACTGAAAAGAAAAAAAAAAAAAGTCATTCTTTATTGGAAGTAAAATTTATCAGAGAAGAGGTACCAATATAGTCTTATTGCATTTCCTGACATTAGAAAATTATTTAATCAGTTTTCCTAGAGAGCTACTCAATCATTACAATTGCTTAAGTCCACAACATTACAGACTATGTAGACGAAACTGCCATATGCCTGAATTCCTCCCTCAGACCAGCACCACACATTACTGCACAGATGAGCAAAAATTGGACAAATACCTGCTGTTGGACAGTCAATAGCTAAGAACAGCTCCATAATGAATAAGCTGCAAGGAGACTACCAATCTACCTGTTTGGTAATTAGCATGATAAGTATTAGTGAAAATCCATTTCTTTTTCACCTATTTTTAAAATTAAAGGTTCTTTACCACTTTGAGCATAACACATTCAGGGCACAAACCTGTGAACACAGCCAAAGCAATAGCTTTTAAGCAAAGCAGAGAACAGTGCTGCTTAATTCAGAGTTGCAATGTAGCACTACAATGCTTTTACTCTCCTCAAGAGAGGAGAACTAACTAGTGTTAAAATTAAGTAGCACTACTTAAGTAGCACACCTTTCTACTTTCCCTTGAAATAATGTGCTGTGAATATACTTGATACTACCAGCTGGAGAAGGTAACAGAAATAATGCTGGAAAGTATCCAGGATTTGCTGCACTACAATCCTTTCGAGTGCTATTTTAATAACAGATGACATTTTCATGTATTATTAAAAATATTTTGTTAAACCTACTCACCTTTCTCCAGAAAGCTTTGGCTGTCACTTCCGTCACTCTCCACCAAATGATCTTCTAGCATCATACTATCAATAGAGATGGTGTCCAGAGAGACTTGTGATGGACTTCTCTTCATATTCTTGTAAGAAACAGAGAATGCAGGGAGGTTGGACGGGCAGCGTTCCTTAGGCTTTGCACTTTTTAAATATAAAGATATTAGGAAATTATTATTTCAAATTAAAGGAAGTACAGAGAAATTGTTTTCTTGGGCTTTTTTTTGGGGGGGGCGCAGGGGGTTGGTTTTTGTTTGGTTTTTGTTTGGGTTTTTGGTTTGGTTTGGGGTTTTTTTTGGTTGGTGTTTTGGTTTTGGGTGTTTTTCTTTGGGTTTGTTTTTTTTAAATTTCTCTCAACCAGGCAAGATATAAAAGAAAAAAATCTGTTTATTCAATCATCCTTTGGCAAGAGAGAGACAAGCACAGAAATAACACACATTCCTGTAAATATGTGTCAGTACTTTTCTCAATACATATTTCATAACATTTAAACCAGAAGTAAATAGTTCAGATCAATTAGCTAACAGTTCATTTTAGTTTTCACTGAATGCTGGATATTGCATATCTTTTATCTTTAGATTTTTAAATTTTTTATCTACTAGATGTTCACTTCTGTTGACCATTACTAAAAGTACACAGCCAACAAAATTTATAAGTATTTTCAAATAGTAGGCAAATTGAATTAGTATTAAGTCTTCTATACCTTGATGAAGACTGGGATGCAAACATTCTAATTGAAGTCACTTTGTTGATTTCAAATTCTTCAGTTTCTAAGGCAGTTTCTGTTTCCAAGTCAGTGACTTGGTTAGGGCAGCCTTCAGTTGTGCCTTCCTGTTCATTTAACTTATTTGAGAATATGTTTTTGTCATCCTCTTTATCAATGAAAAATTCAGTAGAATCTTCTCTCTTATTTAAGATGGATGTTGAATCTTTAGGATGCAAGCTACTTTTCTCACTCAGAGGTCCACAGACCTCCTCTGAATCACTTCTACTAAAAAGTCCACTGCTTGCTCCTTCACTTGTATCTCCTAAACCTTTATCTGATGCATCATCTGAAAATGATGTTCCTTTCTGAAAGTCCATATTACTGTCTGATTTAAACAAAACAGGATCTATTAGAATTCCTTTATTAACTTCAGCATTCAAAGGCTTGCAGGCATTTACATAATCAAAATCAGTAATACCAGCTTGCACTATCTTATTGCCAACTAATTTATTCTCTGAAGTGAGAGCTTCCTCATTTCCCACAGGGGAGAGTTCTGATGCCACAGGACTTCCTTCTTCCACAACTGGAGATTTACAAGGGTTTCCCTGAGTCACTGGATGGAGTAGTAAGGCTACTTCTGCACTTTTAAGTAGGATCCCAATGCAGACATCTGTTTGCTTTGCAGGTTTTCCTGTCACTGCTTCTACATCATTTCTTAAGTTTTCCAGGAGCAATACAAGAGATTCATGGAGAAACAGCAAAAAAAGGTACTGGTAATGATTGATCTGCATGCTTACATGTTTTTGAACATGGACTAGGACATGTACATCTGCATCTGTGGAAGAACTTTCAGAAAGCACTCCTGAAGTGTCTAACATTTGAATGCCATTGGTCAAGGGCTCTGTCTCAGTGCTGTAATATTCCTTAAGAAGTTTATTACGTTGCAGTCTATTAGCAAGATCACTAGATTCACTTTTTGGAATGTTCAAAGCTGTCTGATCATGGGATAAAAGCTCTTTTTGTGACTTTGCAAACCTTATTGGTTGGCAAATCCAAAGTGAAAGTGGAAACGAGTCCACAAAGCTTATTGGTCGGCCTTTCCCACTTTTTGTTCCTTCATAATCTATCCAGAACTGGGAAAAATGCAAGGCCCAAACATCAGTAGCTGCAGATGTCTTTAATGCATATTTATTTAACTGTGGTATGATATAACCTTTATAAACATCATGCATTTTAGTATCTTGTTCATGAGCATGTCTCTGGAAAATTGGATGCAAAAGATTAAAATTCTTCTGGGACTTGGGAAAAGTGGTGAAAGTTCTACTGAAAAATTCACAGTCTTTGAAGTTCTGAAACAAAGCTTCAAGATCAGAGTGTCTGCAGTTTGGTGAGTATCTTGTATTCGTAGCAATCATCTCTGAACTTTGAATAGAAAGTGCATGAGGTTGATCTTTATGAATTTCAGGTTTGTTTTCAGATGGGATTATGAACTACAAGAGAGAAATATATTTTTTCTAGTTAGAAATATGTAGATTAAGCAGGTATACAATTAAAGAAACAAGATAATAGCCATGACAGCTAAAATAAAGGAATATAATTATAATTTTATGAGAACTCAAGTATACTAACACAGGCTCACAAATTATCGTTTGTGCTTCCTCTTTTTTTCTGAAGGATCTGTGTCATTTAATACTCGGTATTTGTACAAAAACGTAAGGGTCTCGGGCTTCTCTTGTCTGAAGAATTTAGATTTAGGTCTGTTATATTAGACTGAACTGCCTCAATTCTTCAACACAGAAACAGCTTGGCAGAAAGTTTCTGCAAGTGTTTCAAGCATTTACAACTTTGAACTCCAAATTATAATTATGTTTTTTTCAAGCTGAAGTGTTAAAGAGGATTTTTCACTACACTATTTTTTATGTTAAGATACAATAAAACAATTACATGTGCTATCACAGCTAATATTCCTAACATTGCAGAATACAAAATAGGTATTTTGTGACCATTATCTGATAATAATATTTTTTTCCAGCATAAAAATATACTCCAACTCCTAAAAAAATAAAACAGTTCAGTAGGCTGGATTTAACTGGACTATCTTTAGCACAAGTTTTAAAGGAAATAGGTATTTTATTTCAAATCCTGTATCTGTTGTTGTTAACATGGACCTTGGCCACATTAGTTTATCTCAGATCAGTGACACTCCCTTCTGTCACAACATCTCCATGCTGAATCTAGAAAGATCAGAATAAAAAAAGTCATCCTAAAGGCACTCAAATATGGGAGTGATGAAGTTTCTTCATGTAAATAAAAGGACTCAGAACAAAAGAACCAAATACGTAACTATATAGTAACTGTGAGATCTGTAAACATCAAAGCACAACAGTAACGAAAGATTCATAAATTGCTAGAATAAAAGTAATGCCGTTAATACAGGGATGAAATAATTAATGTGAATCAATGTTTGATGGACTTGAGAATGCTTTTATCTTAATTTAGTGGGCTATTCATATACCATAATTCACTATTAGATCAGTCTGTACTTGCAGCTGCCTGGTTGTTAGCTTTCAATAACTGTTTCCATTCAGTACAAACAATGCCCTTTTAAAGTTCTATTAAATATATACCTAAACCCTTAGAAAGACAACTGTCTCTCCATATGCTGACTTTAAAACCCTTGAAACCTCTCATGCAGGCACCAAAGAGACTTGTTTTGTTTACCTCTGAACCTCGGAAAAAAACGCCCAATGCAAAACAAAAAAAAAAAAAAAAAAAAGGAAAAAAAGGGAGGGGGGGAGAGGGGGAAGGAATTAGTCTGCTCAATAATCCTTCTCCTCCAAAGAAGGAGAAGACAAGGGAATCAAAAATCTGATGTTCCAATGTATTAACGAGTGCCACTCCTCTGGAATAAACATACAGAGAACTTTTGTACCTGAGCTACAGCCAATACAGCCAAGGACCAGCGTGAAACAGAAAATGGTGAGAATGGGGTTTGGAGAAGCAAATAAACCTTCAGAGGAACTGCTTGTTTTACTCCAAGCATTCAGCAGCAAGACAAAAGTTTTTTATATACTACAAACAGAAGAACAAGAGTGGGCCCTTGCATTAACTGAGTGCGAATGTGTTAGTTATTTTTACTTCAGTGTTCATTTTTCTTTCTTCTGCTACGTCAGCTTCATTGAACACAGTGAAATAATCTGTTAATACTCCCATTCAGGTCTTCAATACAAAGTCAAAATATCCCTAGGACATAGATGAAGTAGTATGTAGGACACGTGTCTATATTCGAACCATCATATTCGGCATAGTTTTCCAGAGGAACATTACTTATGGCATGGATTGCTTGTTCATTTATTTGTCCATGTTTTCATTAAGCTGCTTTTCTAACAGCTTTTCAGAATAAGACAGAAAGTATTTTCTTCCAAGTAACCACAAAACCCCTTCTCAATGACAGCATACCTTTAACATTAAGCCATCAACTCTAACATCAACATGCTCATCTGATTTTGAATTATCATTTAACTTGTACATGGCCATGAACTGAATAAGACTCTGTTTCAAATCCAACACAAACTGATTTAGCCAAAGAATACTTCTCTCATCCAGGGTGAACTGTAAAGCATTCAGCTGGCCGTACAAATTTGGACATGGAACTGAAAGAGAAAACAAAACAAAATCATGAAAATAAGTAAAATGTTTAGGAGGTGGATTTTATTTTTTTTTTAAAACGAGTGCAGACTTACATTTTCACTGCTATTTTACGTTAAAGAAAGAATGAAAACCCACTCCTTCGGTCTCAAGGATGAATAAATTGTTAGGGGATACCTAAAGTAATGATTATTTCTCACTCAAAGCAATTGAATTTCTGAATGTAAAACCTAATATTAGAATAGAATGAAGTCTGAGGAGAGAGGGAGAATGTCCTTATTACAGAGGTCAGGACGAAGGAGATCTGCTGTCCTCAAGTCCCATTCTCAAGAAATCCACTGACATTTCTGTATGTATAACAGGGACAACCCCATAACACATTAATAAAAACAACTCCATCAGATCCGCATTGCATCGTAAATACTACTGCAATAGTTTGAGTTCTTTTATGTAGCCATTGAATTCTTTTCTGTAGCTAGACAGTGCAACTGCAGAAACAAGACATGTATGTTGAAGAATGAATAATTTATGTGTCATTAAAATGCTGTGTTTTCTGACATAAAAGCCATATTTGCAAAAAAACAGTACTATAGGAGATTACCAGGGGCAAGGACTGTGCAAATGGAGCAGTGTTGCACTCTTTCCATTTAAGAAAGCCATTACCTATTTCCAGTTGTCAACCTGAAACCAGTATTAAGCTTCATAAAGGTGAAAGTAACACACAAAACTTATGGTACAGTAAAAAAACCAAACAAACAAACAAACACCAAAAAACCACAAACCCATCCCCACCCCCCTCAAAACAACAACAACAACAAAACCACAAAAAATGACCCCAAACCAAAAAACTGAACTTCTTACTAGGAAAGTCCTTTCCATCTGGGTAGTAATACTCAGTGAATTCAATATGAATAGCTGGCATTTCCGGTGGAAGATAAAGTGACTTTTTATTGCAAGAGATCAGAGCTTTAGGGGAAGAACGACACTGGTCTGCTGTTGAAACCTGTAAAAGATAAAAGATTAATTTCATTAGTACATTACATTTTTATGAATCATTAAGCATTTGTAGTTCCAAGACATGCCCCTAAAAGGGTAACATTCCATTGCTCTCAGATGTAGAATTTCAACTACACAAAGTGCTATGAGAATGACCTAGTTGCCTTATAGTAGAAGCAATCCACATAGAACAGTTTTACAAGAAAACTATACAGCATGAACGGTACCAGATCACCTTCATGTGAGGCAGGAGGCAGCAGGTCACTTTCAAAGGAGTTCAGTAAAAGGCTAAAATGATCTGGTATCTTTATTGCAAACACTAAAGCTCCTACCTAAGCAATTATGCTTGGACATGGTATATTTGCACACTGTCTTTCCTCAAGGATCCTATATCTAGATGATAGGGGATAGATAGCTAGGTAGGTTTATTATATCAATGTTAGGAAGTGCTTGTTCTATCATAAGGACAGATTCCAGTACATGAGCCCACTCTTGACTGTATACTGCTAAACAAGGTGTTCAGCGTGCACCTGACAGAGATTTGTATGCTTGGCTATGCCCAGAGGTCTGCTTAACAGGAGAATCAAGACACTATAGAACAGTAATCCTTCACTTCTGTTTCCTTCCAGTGTAAAATTATTAGACAAAAAAGAGATCACCTTTTGATATATATTTGACCTTTAATTTCTTGGAATGTACCCTAGTTTAAAAAGTATGTTGTCAAAAAAAAGCTGTCTCATCCAACACTTAGTAGGTCAGACTGCTACTTTGGAATTTGACAACATATTAATACTGATTGTATGATGATGTCTATTTGTATGAGTTTCACTGGAAATAATGAATATATAACCTTTATAAGTCTGCTTCACTCCATGTAATTGTTTTTAAGCTGCAAACATCTCTATATTAACACACAAAAAATTCAAGTAATAACAAATCTATTTAGAAAAACATCTTTTTGTAAATTGTATAGAAATAATGAAAATTTAAAAAATTGAAAATATATTTATGTAGGGAGGATGATGAGATATGTATTGAAGAAGGAGACAAGTATATTAAGAGTAGAAGGCAACTGAAAGCAACAACAGTACAAAATAATACAAAACCACTTCAAACCCAGATGAAGGCTCCTGGCAGCAAGCTGCAACCTCCTACTCTACCAGAAGCAATATGGCCAAAAAGCATTGAAAACTGGAACAAGAACAAGTAGAAGTCACAATGACTAATGTCACACACCAGCATTTTTGTTAGAACCTGAAATTTAGGGTAGATCCTCCTATATCACTACCATTCTGCCTTACAGATATAGTCCTTCTCTATTCCAGTTGCCTCCTGACTGTATGAAAGAGTGAATCTGGACCACAACTGGCAAATAAAAGTACTCACTCAAACAAGTGGGGAATAGGGGGCAGAGCAGTTAAAATGCCTATTCAAAATATCACTGAGGGAGGGAAAGGCTTGAGAAAAATTTTAAAAACCTCTTAATTTAACATCTAAAAAAAACCCATGTCCTTTGAAAAAGGTAACAATAAGAAAAGTATGAAATACAAAACCACATATTAAAATATTGGGTACCTAACACAGTACAATGAAAAGATGAAATTCCAAATGTCAGAATTTGGGAAGAATTTGGATCTGAAATATAACTGTAATTGGGTATCATCTAACATAAAGTCAATAAAAAAATAACCTCCAATTTTAACAAAGCAGAAGCAGGACCATAAAGGTCTAATCCAATAATGAATGAAAAGACTTCTGTTAATTTCAATGGGCTTCAGATTTGCCCCTTAAAAAAAACATAGTTATTTAACAATCAAGGGCAAAGTAGCCCCAGTTTTACTAACTTGGAAAAATGTACCTGATATATATTGAAATCTGCAAGTCTAACCACAATAGGACTAGACATCAGTTTGCCCTTTGGTTGTTGAGAAGATACAGAGGAAGCCCTAGATGTTCCTTTCGGTATCTGTTCCTTGCCTGTAGGAAAGAATAGTGATGGAATCATTGAGAAGAACAGTCTTTTTTATAATAGTTATAACATTTCATGAAATTGGAGCAGTATTGATGCAAACAAAGTACCTGTTTGTAGGTTCTGAGGGGAGACAGCAGGTGGTGATTTGGGAGGAGAATCTATAACTTGGTCCTTCACAGCCTGCTTAAGTAATTCAACATTGCTTTTGAATTCATTTAATAATTCTTTGGCCCACCCACTTCTGGTTTTAGTGGCATCACTATAATGCATCCAGTGATCACAGCTGTCTCCTGCGAATATGAGGAATATGGGAAATATTGACTCATTTGAAAGTTTGCTTTTAACTAGATAAGTTTCCACTATTTCACAATTCTTCTTCAAAATACAATCTTATTACATGCTGTAATTATTGAACAAAATTCATAACAGACATTAAACCAGAAGTTTATATATTATATAAAAACACATCTCACTGCTTCACAAAATCACTCAGAAAACAATTTAATATTGCCACCTGTTTTTTAATACCATTAACTAATGTTCAAAACAGCACTGAGTATTTCAGTTCAGAGAAATTTGATGACACATTAATGTCATACATGAGAATATGCAAAAAAAAAAAAGTTTCATTTAAAGAAAAAAGTGACAGCAAGTAACAGAACAACGTTCTCATGCTCACTTTTTCCAAGCTTATCTTTCCTGCCAGAACTGTGTTCTAAGAAGTTCCTTGTCCCTTTCCAGAAAGGTATTCTTTTCTGTTGGCTCTCTAGCACCTCTCTCTATGGCACACAAACAAGAAGGTAATTTCGATCACTTCTGCACCACACACAGCCTTAAAAATCAAGCCCAGTAGAAATTCTTTTATTCCTAACGTGTTGGTTAGGCACTTAAACCTCTGAAAGAAATTCAGACCTCTTCAAACAGTCCCTGTAAAGACAGTCTACTAATGTGTTTGATACTAAGGATGCACTACAAATAACTTCTATCAAGTCACACATCACTCTCCAAATACTACCGTGTGAAAACTTAATTTATTTGAGACTTAATAAGGTTTTGGGTACTTACACTGGGGATGAGTAGCTAATTAAAAGAGGTAATTGCTTTGGGAAAAAATGTGATTTCAAGCATAAATGAAAAGATTTCAGCATGGAAGAAACTAAGAGGGAGGAGCCCATCACAAGAGATGACATTTTTTCCCCACCCTCCTGCCTCACAGCCTTTTGGTGGTTATTCACATCCTTCTAGCTAAAGAAGAAGAGAAAGGAACACAGAAGGGAAGAAAAAAAAAAAAAAAATGAGTGCACACAAGAGGGCAAAGATACATTAAAATCAAGTCGATGAAGCCAGGATTCTCCAAAACAGGGCTGAAGTGGGTCATCCCAAGCATATGCACATAAACACAGAAGTACCTACAGGACTGCAGTATAATAAGAAAAGCTCTCCTACCCCTTCTCGGAAGCCAGTGTGGGTAGGCGCCTCTCTGAAGTGCTTGCACACTAACACATGCAGCATGAGGAACACGTAGGACCAGGAGGAATTAGAGATCTGCATGCAGTTGCAGGCCTATGATCTCAGTAGGACCACAGAGACATAGCGAGATAGCACACACAACCAAAATGCTGCAGAGGATGGACACAGGCTCTTTGGGAAGCACTGGCCAAGAAGGCAAGAAAGGTGAGTTAATCCATCAGTAAAATGAGTGGGAACACATGGAGCTCTACCTTGGGATAGATCATCAGCCACTGAGTGCTTACAAGTCAGGATTAGACGGCAGACTAACATGGAAACGTTGTGGTGGATATCTGAATTTATTGCTGGTTGCCCAGGAAGAAAATGCTTTCCAATTTCTCATACTGTCTCAATGTATCAGCTTGATCAAGAATTTCCTATGCTGCAAAATGTCCTGCATCATGGCAAAGAAGCAGTTTTCTCTGATCATCATCCAGCAACACATCAGCTGCACAGATAATGGATCTGGATAAAAGCTTCTGTGTGAGCAGGTCTGGGAAGACTACTAGAGTGATGGATTGCTGCATAGACAGGTTTACAACATCCAGTAAGTCTGGCTTATGTTAGGGTTATCACAGTCAATGGACACATAACCTGCTTCATTTTTGTTAAGTATTATGAAAGGTTATTGCTGGAAGGCTTAATTTTCAATGGGTTACCCTACAGTAATTATGCCTCAAACTCCCTTTAAAGTCTTGCCAAGTAGGGTCTTTTACAAAAACAACCAACCCCCAGCCCCCAAGAACTCAAATTATTTTGCAGATTTGCAAAATAATCAATCATTGAGGGCTTTTTCCTACAGGACTAACTGCAATGTCCAAGACTAAACCAAAAAGCTGTTCCTAAATATTCCATTGGCTAGAGAGGTAAAAAACCAGAAAACAGTTTGGTCACAGAAGCTGCGACCTCCTTGCTGCTGAAGTATTAATATGGTGTTTTACTTCAGTATGCAATATTGCAGGACCTCAACTTCAGGGTAGAAATGCTCTGCATATCAGCTGATAGCCCGATACAGCTGTATATAGTGGTACAATACCTACATGGCTAGAGAACTCCCTTTGAACTTTTGGGATTAATATGTGCTCCTTTTACTTTGAGCAAATGGACTGTCCCCCCTGTGACAATAGTTTGCTCACAGAACTGCCACACTCGTCTAAAACCGTGAGAAAATGAGGACTTCTTAAAGTGAAAGAAGAAACTTTCTGGCATGTTCCTTTCCCCTCCACACATACATCCTATTGGATCAACCACCACCACCTTTGGAAGCTTTTTGTCATACTTTATTAGTGAGACATAAATTTCTTTTACTTAAACTTACTTGTACAGAAGCAAACTGAGTGCTTTTAGGTAGTCTACCCATCCAAGAACCTACAGTGCATGGTTCAATCTGGCTAAGAATCCTTTCAAAAGAAGCAATCGGTTTATTTCCCTGATTCTCTAAGTTTTCTCTGAGGAGAGCTCACAGAAATTATAGATAGATTGGTCCCTCACTCAGACACTGTAGGAACCAGAAGTGACAGTACATGAAAAACATAGCTGGGTTATAAGACAGGCATGTGTTAAACCTCTGTAAAATAGGGTCCCCCCCCTTTATAGGACAGGAAACCAATGCCACAATTATCAGAACATATTAGGCCAATCTATAGAAAGAAAGAAAACTGCTTTTCTTAAGCATTTTTTTTTCTGTGGCTTTTTATGTTTATTTGAGCTATGCTAAATTACATTTTTTAACATGCAAAAATTACACTTCCTACCTATGAAGGAAACAGATTGACATTACAGGATTCCACCTGCAACCATGACAAGAAAGGCATGAGGCAGGCTATGGTTAATTCACATCTTTAATCTGTGTGGATAATCATTCCAAAATGACTGGTCTGTGTTAGTAAAAATGCAAAACAAAGCAAAACCAACTCTGCCCACCAGATAAAAGCCCCTCCACTGTACTGGACTGCTTTTGAATTCAAATTCAACAGCAAACTTACTTTGTCTCTTCTACATTTTTTTAGACTTCTTAAAATTATTTGTAAGAAATGCTTCTCTGGAAATTGCTAACATCTGTTTAACACCAATTCCTTAACAAAAGCCTATACGGTGGAACCTCTACACACTGGCATTCCTTTTTAGAAAAATAAAACCAAAAACACTGCTTGGAAATGGATATAAAATGATAGACGTCTACATGGGGGGCAGGAAAAAAAAAAAAAATCTAACAGATTGACTCTTGCAAATACCCAATTTGTGAATTCTCAATCTGCCATACTGCCTTCCTCTGTCAACACAGAATTCTTTTCATGTCAGAAATGTCTAAACACTCTTTTGTTGACCAAACAGAACAGTGAAAAGGAAAAGTGTTTGGCCTAAAAAGCTCATTCACAGAAATTAGACTGGTTCCCAGGCTGTTGCTTTTGTTGGTTTTGCATATAGAATGAAATAAAAAGGTGTATATTTGAAATGCTCAGAACATTATTATCCATGCCCTAATATATATATAAACAAATTTTTAGCATTCAAGATAGTTACATTAACAGATAATTCACAAAATGCTCACTTTCATACCTGCTTTGTGAAATGGATAATAGTCCACTGTTAAATAGCTGAAGGAAAGCTGCATGGCCCCTCCTGTAACACGTCTATTTGAATCTGTAAAACAAAACAATACTCAGCTCTGTAGATATTACATTTAGCATGTTAGTTCTCATGTTGCTGCACTTTAAAAATCAGCTGTTTCTTCCTCCCTTCACTGACTCTCCTTACAACCTCAATTCCTTCCCTCAAAATTTACACACAGGTAGTTGTCACTGGTTTCTGAATATCAGCTTGTTGAACTCAGTGTTCTGTACTCAGACACTACTAACAATTTGTGTATTGTTTCAATACTATTAAAAAGTAAAGACAACTCTCTGAATGCATATTACTGCAGTTTTTCTAAAACAAAACTTTTTATACTGAATGTATGGTTATGATCAGCATCAAAGTCAGCATTTACAGCACTCCTGAATTTAAATATAATTTATTTTATTTGACAAATATTATTGCAGTGAAGAGGTCTTCTGAGAGTCCTCTATTCTGATTTTTCCACTGCTAAATTTAAACTTCATAGGCAAAAACAAATGACTAATAAAGACATCTCACTAAAAATGGTAAATCACAACTGCAGTATATACACTGCATGTAAAATAACACATCTCTAGCCAGTGAACTTATGCTCTGCTGTCCTGCAAGTGTTTTCCGTAATTAAGGAAATAGCTAACAGTAACCTAAGTTATTCATACTCTTCTTCAGCAGACCTTGTATGCCTCTAAATTTTTCAGTGACTAGATAGGTCCTTGGATATACACTGATACATCATTCTCTCTGATCACTTTAAGAAGGCATTAAAGAAGTGTAATTTATCTTCTTTTTTTTTTCTGATTCTAAATATGGCTATATCCAATAGCCTTTCATTCAAAAAAACCCCTGAAGTATCACAGACAAAAATATAAGGCCACAGAACACTTGTTTCATTCTTTTTATGTGCTGCAGAGCATACCAAATTCTCTAAATTAGTAACAGAAAGAGGACTGCTGTTTTATTAGTCTGTATTTTATAAGAGTATTACAGAAGCAGATCATATAGGACCCTTTCAAGCCACAGTAATGTTGCCACTGCATTATTCAAAACCCAGTTAACATACAATGCAAAAGAAAAAAACAGCAGGAACAATCAGACTGGACAGAATCCGTTTCTAGAAGATGGAATAAACACTGAAGCTACTAGCACTCGTAACAGTTTTTACTGTATTTATTCTGCAATATTTACATTTAATAATGAAATGTTATTCTGATAAAGGCATCTAGCTGATTTTAAATCTGTCTACAGAGAGTGAAGACAATTCTGAACATTCTTCTAAAACAAAGACTCTTGATTAACATTAATGTATTCTGCAAAATGTCTTCTAAAGATGAATACAGTTACTTTAAAAAGAAAGTTACCTTTTTCTTTAGAATGGATATCATCACATATATGTAGGTCCAAATGGGAAATTACTAAGTGATGAGAAGTTTCCTTAACATCAAAATCATTAAACAATTTTACTATTGCATCATTTTGATCAAGTGCTGCTGCCGTCTGGGGTGTTTTCACCTGCTGAGAGGTGGGTGCAGGGGCAGAGCTCTGAAAAAAATATTTAGTCATATCAGTTTCCAAAGTTTATCCTTCCTTTCAAGCATTAATATCCTTTTACGTTACTCAAAACGGGTCCCTGAAATAAGGAAGAATCTGCACCAAATGCATTCACCTTGTATTGTTACAGATATCCAAGTGTGCTGTTTTAGAAGAAACCTAAGATGTCCTAATGGCTCAGTGTCACAGGGACGCAATGCCCGTTCTCCCCTTCCCCCACACTTCTGTATACCCATCACTTGCAGCACTGGTATTTTTCTAACTTCTGAGCAAGCTTTTCAGGGAACTAAACTTGCATAAAACCATTATTTTCTTTTTCATTGGGCTCCCTGCTCAAGTAATAGCTAATGATTAAATTGTAGCTAAACCATCAAATCCCCATGTAAATCATTGAGGAACACCGTAAGAACTGAACTCTCCATTACAGTACACTAGCTTCATTTGTAAGATATTCCATATAATTACTTTACTCAGTCTTCATAATAAATTATGTTTTGTTTTAATAGGACTACTTTTTATCAGTGTAATTTGTGCTGCTTTTTCACTTACAAGAAGAGGTCCCTCTTGCAACACACAGAGCACAGTTGGCCTCGTCTGCTTTGCTCAAAAGCAACCGAGGTTTACGTAAGACTATCTCACATGCAGTATCAATATCACATCCACACCTGCAGAAATATGGTACACGTAGAATTTTTCACCAGGTATACCAACATGAGAACCGCATGATGGAAAGCTCCTACTAAAAGCTAATTTTTTGGTACCATGAAAACAAAGTGGACAAGCACTTTAAGTTGTTATAGTAAGCATATCTATCGCCACATTAAGGTTACCTTAGTGTGTCTTAATTATTATTTTCATTAATTCATAACCAGGAAATATTTGGGGAGCAAATGTACTAAACAGTTAATCAACTGTTAACATACAAGTCTACATACTCTGTGCATGGATAAAGAAATACAACTTTTCTCTTTCCTGAATTTAACATCAATACACAAAATCTTGTAAAGTCAAGTCTGTTATATACTCCTGTGATTCATTCCCAATGTAATTTAAGATATACAGCTGAATGAAAATGAGCAACTGAATATTCTCCAAAATAAAGTAACACAACTAACCACACTGTGCTGCATTTTAGAACACCTATTATACAGTGAGAATCAATTTTCATACCTGTGCTGTTTCAGAAGCCAAGCTTTTTCTCTGTTCTGTTGATTTCTCTATGGCTTCACTAAGAGATTTGGCATACTGCACCATGGCCTTCAACTGGGAATCAGTCAAAACCCACAGCAAATCATCCAGAATCAGAACCAGTTTTGATGCCACTACATTACAATCCTTTAACTGTATAATAAAAATTTAATCAAGTTAAAATGGGTGCATTAAATACTTAAATTTCTTAAATCAAATACAAGGGGAAAAAAAAAAGTTGAATGCAAAACTATACTTCCCCCACAATCAAATTTCTTTCATATAAATAACAAACATTTTTTATTTTAAATTGTATTCTTCTCATTAACTAAAAAGTACCTAAGATACAGTGTATTTATACCCCACTTTTTATTTGCTTGGAATGCATTAGATATTAAATTGATGCATTTCTCTAAAAGTAAGTAATGTTAACATTGCGCGAACCTAGAGAAGTAAGACAACATGCATCATCATAAACAAAGCTCTGCAGATCAAATGATTTCATTACTAGGACCAGTGCAAGATCTGCATCTTCAGATTCTGCCTGCTATATTTCTTGTAAACTCCACAGTCTTACCAATTACGTGCTAGTAAAAATTGAGTTCAGGGAATTCTACATTTTATATGGCCTAAATTTAAAAACCTCTACTATGTCCACGTATGCACTAAGAGCATAATTAAAAATTAATTCATAAAACAATGAAAGACTTTCAAGTTTACCCTTCTTTTAAGCGTGACCCTAATTTTTGACTGGTTAGTAATCAGTCGAACCGGAGCACTCATGATTTCATGCTTAGAACTCTGGATTGCATCTGCCTCTATTCTGATCATCTGCCAGTTGATTTCTTTAAAAGTCAAAACCTTTAAAGAGAGAAAAAAAACACCTTCATGCAATATGACAGTTTACTTGTGCCTAAGCATGTGCATGTATATAACTGCACATATATACACAAATACATGCTCACATATAGCCTTCATGCAGAGTCATACGAACAGAACAAATTCAAGTCACTTGTTATTTTACTTAGAGCTGTCTGGAAGTAAAGGCTTGATACTTTTCTCTACCTCCAGAATGTCAGAGAAATGCTAAGCTAGTCCCAAGCAAACAGAGGTAACAAGCAGCATTCCAAATATTTAGAAGAAAATAAAGGTTACAATTCTTGCATACTAGGTTGCTTTTGATAGAAGAAAAAAAGAAGATTGTGTGTTTTAGTTTCAAAATGCTAAATCGGAGTATATAGGAAAAGAGTGGGGAGGGACACAAAGCTACAGGATGAAAGAGGTTTTTGGAGTTTTTTATTTCAACTAAAAAAGAAAGTTAAACATTGAGTACATTGTATGCCATATAGACCCCACAAGCTTCGAATCTTTACATGGATTTCTAGAAGACACAGCAAGCAGTTCTCATTATGGAGAACATCAAACAAACAGGACATTAACCG